AGCCACCAGAGCTTCTTATATAGCAGTATAGAACTTCCGTATAGGCCTTTCTAGGCTATAATCTTGTTAGAACAATTTTACTAGGTTTTTCTCCTGTGGAGCTACTCTTGGTAACTCCTAGCAACATGATGAACAATAGATCTGAACGTTGCCCTCTCCTGTGTCATCGTCACCATCTCTGATAGGGTCAAGCCCATTGTCTTGGTCACATGCTGGGAGTCTTCCTCTCTTTCCCTGAGGAGTACCCTGGCTGCCCTTCCTCCAAGACACACTTGTTCTTTTGGAGGCCATAGGTATTCAGTACTCCTCTTCACTATCACACTTCAAATATTTCAGCTCTTCTTCTGTCATCCTTATTCACTGTCCAACTTTCAGATGCATAGGAAGCTGTTGTATCAGGTGTACCTTAGTCATGAAACTGGGAGCCACTGTTACTGTTGTTGGGTGCTGTCGAGTCAACTATGACTCACAGTGATGCTATAAATAACAAAGCTGAACCATGTCCTCTCCTGGGCCATCCTCATCATTTCTAATATACTTGAGCCCATTGGTACAATCATTGAGGGTCTTCCTTTCCTGGATGCTCCACCTTTCTAAGCCTGATTGTCTTTTTCCAAGGAAGAAAGATGATGCTTTGTCTCTCAAAGTATGTGAGATCATCCTTGCCTCCAGGGAGCACTCTGGTTTCACTTTCTCCTAGACATTTTTCTTTGTTCTTTTGGCAGTGCATAGGATATTCAGTTCTTTCTCCAATACCACAACCCACCGACATCAGTTCTCTGTCATCCTTATTTGTTATCCAACTTTGAGAGGCATAGCAGTGATTGAAAAGATCATGGCCAAGATATGGCACACCTTTGTCTTCAAACTCACATCATTGCTCTTTAGCACTTTGGAAAGGTCCTTGACAGAAGATTTATCTAATGTAACACGTCTTCTTATTGACTACTATACTGCAATCCAAAAAGCACATGGTTCGAGGCCACCAGCAACTCGCAGAAGAAGGATAAGCAGTCTCCTCCCATGTGATTAACTGCCTTTGAAAACCTGCCAAAGGGTCACCTATGGGTTGGTCTGACTATGGTACACAACAACAACAGAAGTACCAAAGTTTTTGATAGTAGATCCAAGTACGATGAAATCATTGACAGCTTCAACCTTTTTTTCCATCTATCAAGTTACATATTGATCCATTAATGAGGATTTTTACTTTCTTGATGTTGGGATATAATCTATATTGAAGGCTGTAGTATTTGATCTTCTGCAGCAAGTGTTTCATGTACTCTTTCACTAACAGCCAGAAAGGTTGTATCTTCTGCATAACACACATGTTGATGAGTCTTCTTCCACTTCTGATACCACATTCTTCTTCATATAATCTATCTTCTGAAATTATTTTAGCATAGATAGGTACAGAAAAAGACACAATACATCTTTCTTGATTTTGAACCATGCAGTAATCCCTTTCTCTATGCAGACAATAGCATCTTGGCATGAGTACAATTCATTCTTGTGCTGTACTCTGCTTTCAGCCAAGATCCGCCTGACATCTGCAGTGATATCCCTCGTGCCCTGATGTCTTCTAAATCTAGCTTGAATTTCTGGCAGTTCTCTGTCAATTTACTGTTCTGTTTTTCTTAATAATCTTCTGCAAAATTTTACTTGCCTGTGATATTAATGATACTGTTAATTTCCACATCTTGTTAGATCACCTTTTTAGGGGATGGTAACAAATATAGATCTCTTCCAATGAGTTGACCATGTCTTCAGAATTTCTTTGCACAGACTGGTGAGCATGTCCAAGGCTGCATGCTTGTTGAAACATGTCAATTGGTATTCCATCAACTACTGGGGTCTTATGTTTTACCAATGCCTTCGGTGCAGCTTGAACCTCTTTCTTTATTATTACCACCAGTCCTTGATCATATGCTACTTCTTAAAATTGTTCTATGTCAGCCAACTCTTTTTGGTACAGTGACTCTGTGTATTCATTCTGCTGTCTTTTGATGTTTCCTACATCATTCAGAATTGACCTACTGGTATGGAGCTGTGTTGCCAGCCCAAAAGCAGGCAGTTCAAATCCACTAGCTGTTCTGCAGGAGAAAAATTGACTCCTATGAGATTTACTGCCTTTGAAAACCTGTTGGACGGTCAGCTATGAGTCAATTTCAATTTGACAGAACATAATAACAACATCTTCCAGTATTGTAACTCAAGGGTTTAATTTGTTCTTCAGTTCTTTCCATTTGAGACATGTTGAATGAGTTCCTGCCTTTTTTCTTTTCTAACTCTAGAACTCTGTCACACTTTGTCTTTTCAAACTACTCTTTGGAATTTTTGGAATCTCTTTTACTTCAGCATTTCTTCCCTTTGTTTTGCCCTCTTTACATTCAACTGTAGTTTTCAGAGTATCTTCTGACATTCCTTTGGTCTTTTCTTTTCCCATGCCTTTGTGGTGATTTTTGCTTTCTTTGATGCCATCCCACTGCTTATTTGGTCTTGAGATGGTTTTTAAATTCAAGTGAGATAGACTCGAGGTTGTTTGTTGGTTCTTATGGTCTTGTTTTCATTTTCTTCAGCTTCAGTGTGGACTCGCACAGGAGTAGTTGATGGTCTTTTCCACAGTCAGCATCTGGCTTGGTTTTGACCATTGATCTTGAGCTTCGACAATTCTTTCACAGATGTACTCACGCTGATTTCTGTGTAGTCCATCAAGTGAGGTCTATGTGCATAGTCACCGTATGTGGAGGCTTTTTAAAGGCATTTGCAGTAAGTAAGTCAATGATTGTACTAGATTCAGTCATTCAATCCCTGCCCTGTTTCACTACCAAGTCTGTAATTTCCAAATACCAGAATTGTTTCCTCCTTCTGCATTCCAGTCACCAGTCATCATTCATGAATCTTGATTGCTCAACTAAGTTCATACTGCAAAAATTAGTACAAATCATCAATTTCTTAATTTTTGGTTTTAGTGGTTAGCACATATATTTGAATAATACTTATACTGACAGGTCTTCCTTGTATGCATATGGATAGTATCCTATCACGGCATTGTTCTTCAGGATAGATGTTCAAGTGGTCTTTTTTTTATTAATATTTTTTTTATTGGGAAAAACATATTG